CAGGGTGTAATCAATTTGTATTTTTCCTCAGATTAGGTCATTCGCAGTTGTGTGCAGTAATATGAATCTATTTTCGGGGTGTATGATGAAACTTGTTTGCCCTTGAAAAATATTGATTGCATCAGATTTTTAGCAATCCTAGACACTATTCTCTCGACTGTCGATTAGTTGTCCTACGACCATTGTTTGCGATATACGTTATTCCAAGAAAGCATACGAAAATCGTAACGCTGCACGAACACACTGGCAAGCCATTATCAGTGAGCAAATCAAATTACTGTCGACTGGCTCGGAATCTCTCCTAATTTAAATCAGTCGAGAATCTGTAGTTAATCTGCAAGGAACGACCTTGTGGAATGGACATTCGAAGTACTAACCTGTGCACTGGGTCATGTTGTATTGGAAAAAATACGAAAAAAAATGTAAATGATAACGGAATTATTTGTTTTGTTTCAATTAATTTGCACTAAGGTGTGGATGAATATTTGTGACAAATGCTTTCTGGGGATTTGCATGGCATAACTTCAAATGACCGACGATGTAAGCGATTATGCCAATGGCTGAAGGTTTAAGAGTACATAGTATCTAGTAAATATTAGGTATTGAACACCTTTATCCACTGTGCCATGTGTGCCCAAGGACACATGGCACAGTGGATAAAGGCGTTAGTTAGATCCAGTGACAGGACCCATAGAGTGTAATTTCAATACTTGGTTAAGGCGGTGGAGAATTTGGAGAGGGGACTTAACAGGAGATAACTGATAAGTGACATCCATTAGACATGGCACGTGGAACTAGAACAGTCTAACTCTGTGAGCGAAAAAAAGGGTTCATTTCGACATTCCAACCACCTGAAGAAGGCCGGAGCGTACAACGACCGAAACGTTGTAATAAATATGGCGACAAAGATTAGGATAGTAGTCCGAATAATGTAAATAGTGTACATAATACCTCATCTCAGAAATATAGACAGATAATTTATGCATCTTCTTCGCAACGGAATATATTTTGACTTAAAAAAACCCGTCAAGATCAAAGTTCGGATGCTTGTCTCCGTTGGTAGTTGCATAATTAAAAAAAAAACAAAAAAACTTGTAGTTCCAACGAATGATTTATTTTATGGAAATATTTCACCTAGCAGTTGCTAGTCTTGGTCACTCTTTTAATTTGAGTAAAAACAGTGCAAAGAAATTAGAAACGCTTAAGAATTTAAATCAAGGAAAAAAACCGATTTGATGACGTTTACAACGTAACAGCAAGTTGAGGCGTAAAAAAAAGGATTTTTTTTGTCTTTTACTCTATAAATTGCATAAATCTGAACAAGGCCAGCATGCTGAAACCCTCGGTCACGATGACTTGTGACTTCGTGCTAGCATAGCCACCGACGACTCCCAAGGGTTCTGAACTATGACTTTCAGGCATTTTCCAAAGGTGCCGGACGCTGGGATTACCTCCTCCAGACCGATAACATCAAGATGGCAATTTCCGGATAAATCGACCATGGTAAGATTTGAACCCGGATGTCATGGTCAGAAAGCGAACAGTAAACTACCTAGTACAGTGAAACTAATTTTAAAACGAAGTAAATTTATTTCAATTAAAAAATTACTAGGCTTAATTGATAATTAGGGTTTCCAATCATAAGAAACAATTCTTAAACAAGATAGAATAAGGAAACTTATGGATGGAGTAATGGATAGTGGCTCGGACTGAGGAATCGGCAGAGCCGAGTTCGAATTCCATTCGAATCCATTACATTCACTTACGTGTTAATACCCTTGGGAAAAGTGTGAATCCTCGTCTTCTCCCCCCAGCTATGGATAAATAGCAGGACAGACCAGGTTCTATAGCCTTGGATGGTAGTCGTCTACCGCAGAAAGAAATGGCAACCCACTGCGGGAAAAAATCTCAGTCAGTCATGTATCGAAAGATACATGATCGCTAAAGCGTGTATTATCCATGCCACGCAACTGAGTTGAACTGATTTTATTTCTCTTGCTGATTGATTGCTCTCCAATCAAGTTAGAATAATGAAAATTGTAAGATAAAATAATGATAATTGTAACAAAATAAAGGTAATGCCGTTTATCTCCAGAACTCCAAGGGTTCATTGATAAGTAAAGTGTTCAAAACTATAAAAAGAAGATTTCGGTCAGATAGAATAATGAAACTTGCTTCAAAGTGAAGTAAATTCAGTTAACTTCAAAATTACGAGCATTGATTAATAAGTAAGTTTTCCAATCATATAAAACAATGGTTAAACCAATAATGAAACTGGTATTAAAAGGAAGTAAATTTATTTCTATTTAAAACTGACTGATTGATACATACTGTCTACAATCCTATAGAACAAATTTTCGTTCAGACCGAATAATGAAACGGTTAGCAAAATGAAGGCAATTTATTTCTGTTCAAAATTACGTGGTTTGATTGATACGTAAGGTCTTCAATCCTGCACAAGTTTTAGGCCAGAATAAGGAAATTGGTATGAATTGATAATGAAGAAAATGTATTTCTCTTCAACTTTATGAGGATTAAATGAGTGTTTTCCAATCCTATATAACAAGATTACGAATAACTAGTACATTGAAACTGGAATTAAAATGAAGTAAATTTATTTCAGTTAGAAATTACGAGGCTTGATTGATAAGAATGGTTTCCAATCACATGAAACAATTCTTAAACTAGTGAGAATCATGAAACTGGTATTAAAATCAACGAAATCTATTTCTCTTTAAAATTATTGATTGACACGTAAGGTCTCTAATCATATAAATCAAGCTTAAAACCAGATAGAATAATTAAATCGGTGTCGAAATGAAGGAAATTTATTTCTCTTCCAAAATCCAAGGACTGATTGATGACAAAGTCTCCAATCCTTTAAAAGGAGTTTTCGACCTGATAGAATAATGAAACTGGTATCAAAATGAACCAAATTTATTTCTCTTCAAAATTATGAGGGATAATTGATAAGTAAGGCCTTCAATCCTATTAAAGAGGTTTTAGATCAGATAGAATAAGGAAAATAGTATCAAAATGAAGAAAAATTATTTCTCTGCAAATTTACGCGGATTAAATGAGATGTTTTCTAATCCTATATAAGAAGACTACAAGTAGCTAGAACAATTTAACAGGTATCAAAAGGAATCCAATTTATTTCAGTTGAAATTATGACGGTTGATTGATCAATAACTTCTCCAGTCCTACAAAACAGGATTCAGAACATACAAAAATAATAAAAAAAATGGTGTCAGAATGAATCAAATTCATCTCATTTCTAAATTAAAGATTCATCTAGTGCTTTATCTTTTCTCAAATGTTCTATCCACTTTCTGGTTGTTACTTGATCCAATTGTACAAAGAATCTTGACCTTGATGATTCCAAATCTGTCTTTTATGGAGCGTATGCAAGAAATCAGAATTTCAAGCTTCTCACCTAATTACGCTTTTTATTGATTGTTATGCGGCTTTTGCATTTTCTAGATGCAGAATTACTTTTCATCTCTCAAGGTGATTTCAAGTATTAAAAATTCTATCACGAAACACTACTATATACAAAACACGGACATCCTACAGATGAGTAAAGAAAGCAAATACATTTTACTCTCACATAGCAGACACAAGGTACTTTTAAATATAACGTTATATGTTACCATATACACACCCAAACATGTTATTATCTTCACTATTAGCGGCGGCACGCGGTGAGACACATTAATTTTCAATCAACATACAACTACGGAGTAAAAGAAAAGTGTAAGTTTCCGTGTTGAATTTTACGAAAGCATTTTTATCTTTCGATCGTCTTTTTCGGCGAAATTCTTTCCTCGATGGACTCAAAAGACAAGAATGTCTTCAGAATGAATTGAAAGTGAATTCCTCCAGGAATTTGCAGACTATCTTCTGAGTACCAACTTTTATATTCGTACAGTTATATTACTTGCATTGATTTTTCGTCAGAAACAGTTTTATAAACAAAATTTCGTTTTTCTTTTAGTTTATTGATTACAAATTCAACAATTTCCATTTCTCATTCCTCCAGGCACTGAAGTTACCCACGGGGATATTCTGATAGTAGGTTCATATATATATATATATATATATATATATATATATATATATATATATATATGTGTGTGTGTGTGTGTGTGCTGGCGCGTGTGTGTGTATATATATATATATATATATATATATATATATATATATATATATGTATGAATTCATGTATATATTTATGTGTATGCATGTATATATGTATAGATATGTATATAAATATATATATATATATATATGAATGTATGTATATATATATATGCACAAACGTATGCATATATATATATATGTGTATGCATATATGTATGTATATAAATATATGTATGCATAAAAGTATATATATATGTATACATATATATATATATATATATATATATATATATATATACACACACGCACATATAATATCGCAACATCCACGTTCGTGTTTATTTTGGACGATTATATATATATATATATATATATATATATATGTGTGTGTGTGTGTGTGTATACGTGCGCGTGTGTGTGTATACGTGCGCGTGCGTGTGTATACCCGCGCGTGAGTAAAGAGAGAGAATATATATATTTGATGTATATTATAATTATATAGGTATGTTTGATCGTTTATTGATCGACATACATACATATATATATATGTGTGTATCAGTATGTGTGTGTTTCTGTCTGCATGTTGTATAGAGACAAAGAGGAAGAAAGAATATATATTAAATATTATATATTATGTTTTATATATATATATATATATATATATATATATATATATATATATATATATTGATCGATTACATATATATAGTGTGTATACATATACCTCACTTGCAATACACTTCATTTGAATATATCTAAATATGTTAATATGTATAATCTATCAACCATATGTAATTATATATATATATATATATATATATATATATATATATATATATATATATATATATATATACATAGATAGATAGATAGATAGATAGATACCTCACTTGCAATACATTTCGTTCGGATATATCTAAATATGATAATATATATAATCTCTCAACCATATATATATATATATATATATATATATATATATATACCACACTTGCAGTCGTTCGAAGTCATTTTTAATCACAGTCTGTAAAATGGTTTCAGTAGCTCGAAGCCAGTTTTAATCACTGTCTTTATGATTTCATGGAGGATTGTCTTTTTAAAAACCTACAGGGCTCATTCGGGGAAACCATTTTTAATCATTGATCGTAGAAACGTATAACTCATAGATTAAATATTTCTGAACGATTTCTGATGCCATGCATTCCGTTTATATGAGATTCTATATCTGAAGAGACTATTTAATGACCTGACTCTGGCTTGAAGGTTTTAATATTTCGGTTTGGTAGCATCTGCTAGTATTGGGAAAAACTACCCTTAGCATAGCATAGCCTATCCTGCATTCAATTTTCTCATCTGACATACGAAATTTTTTATAACTAATGCAGACCCCGTGGTATTTGAAACGTTTAGTGTTTATTGATTTCATATGGATATTTATGATGGGTCCAAGGTATATTCCATCACTACTATTATTTCAATTCCAGATTATAGGTTCTCTTTTGGAAAATTCTATCTCGATCTATTCCTGGGAGCACTTAGACTTCCCCCACCCGTTTTCAATGGAGTGGAGCACTGGCCTCTGGGAGGAAAATAAAGGCGCTTTTTTTTTTCTTTTTATAGATTCATTTGAAATGTGGTTGGGAATGTGTAAGTAATCAAAGCTCATTTCTCATAAATATCTGCCTGTTCATGCGCAGAGTCCAGTCGAGGAAGTGAGTAAAAAGCCTAGGCCTCACATTTGCTCTTTTTCCTACTTTTTAGTCTTTTACTAACTGTTCACTCAATCCAAGACTCAAGATCCACTCAGGATAGAGGGTTACTGATTGAAGTCGATGTTTGAACTTAAGAAGAGAAGGAAAAAAAGTGTAGATAATGAATATATGTATTTCTATCTATAAAAGGCAGGGTGTGTGTGTGTGTGTGTGTGTGTGTGTGTGTGTAACGAATGCACGGCCGCAATTTTCGACGGATTTGCACCAAAATTTACATGCACATGCTCAAAGTTAGCGGAAAGGCCAAGACCGACTTTGCATTTTCCAACTCCCATCGATACTGGAAATAATCGATTTTTTTCATGCTTCTACGGCAGTTTTCATGTAGTTTGCGGCCTTTTTCTATTGGGCATAGTGAGAGCCAATAGCTGACTGCCACGAATAGGCAGGAAGATTCTATTGGCCAGCGTGAGAGCCAACAGCTGACTGACACGATTGTTAACTAGCATGCTTACATGCAAAAAAATCGATAGCTGCATTTGACACAAGTGGGAAAAATTTAAATCTGCATAACACTTTACTCCAATTGGTTCATTCGCTTAAACTCAACGTTGATTCTGATTCCGCAGAACTGGGTTGGGTGTGAAAAAGTATTTATTGTTAACATTCTTTTTTCATTCGGTTTTTCCAGTTACGAGTCCTTTTTTAAAGGTGATCGTTTTGCGTTCATTTTATTTAGTTCTTTTTTAGTAACAGATTTAATGTTTAGTGTAGAGCTTCGAAAAAAAATCGCAGTGTGAGATAGGCAAAAAGTAAGGCATGTAGCAACATCAGCACGGCAAAGGGCACTCATTTAAAGGCAAGGAAGGGCAAAAATATTTTAAGTCAAGTGATAGCGATTGCTGTATGAGTCGTACGATTTTTGAATCAAGCCCAGGCAACGCCGGGCCATGCTGCTAGTGAAAGATAATTGTAAACCCTAGAGTTTAAGAGTCTAGTGATTGGGGAAGCATCGTCTCGGGACCTGTCACACAAATTCGTAGTCCTTGGGAAGATTCTGTTCGAATGAAATTTCTTTCTTACTAATGGAATACGGAGGGGAATGAGGATGATTCCTCCCTGCGTATTTATTATAGCAGACTTAGTTGTGAAGGTCTGAACTAGTGAAAATAAGAATTTAACTTACGGAATTTCTTTCCATGTGTTATGGTCCGGTTCCTTGTACCACGGTGATAGTCCAAGGTAGAACCAATAAAGAAGAACTTGAATACGGATATGGAATAACACAGATATATTACAAACAGGAATATATACAGAGAAGTAGAAAGGGTTAGTACGAACAATCAGGTTTAGTAGTAATTGTCTGAACGCGACTCTGTTTCGGACTGCCTCTGACTCGACTGACTGGCTGACAGACTCCAGACTTCAGACTAAACTCACTCCAGACCTCAGACGGAACGGTATTTAGTCACCCCACCCCACAAGGGCATCGTGTGGCACAAGGCCGGTTTAATGTGGGATCACCGAGCCCGTGGTCTCGGCCAAAAATATGTCCTTTGAACCCGCACAAACGGGTTCAGGGTCGGTTTACCTCCCCGAAAGAGACTTCGCCTCACGGCGTAGCCTCGCTCGGGTTCCTCCCCGCTCGAAGGCTGAGAGTTCAACCGATCAGCCGATCAGCCGGTCGCCCGACTTCGGACTGAACTCTCTGCTTCCTCTTGAGGCGCAGTATTTATTACGTATGGGCTAGTCCATTATGTTATTATGGGTAAGGTCCCATAACACCATGGAATTAGTGAAAGAATATCAAATGACTAGCAGGTTTAGATTGTAAAATAATTCATCACCCACAAAGCGGAGTATATGCTTTTGAACTCGATCAAGCCTGGAATATAAACACAAGACAGCTCTAACCCAGATATTGCAACGATACACCATTTTTGAGCCGATCAGACTCGTCTAAAGAATTAAAATGCAGGAGGTGGCGGATATTTTTCTGGTGTCTATTAGATTCATATGATTCGGTGTTTGGGTTTATAAAAGACATGTAAGACTTTGTGGTTCGACACAGTTTCTCTATCAGATCAAAACGTTTCACTAGAGTTAGAACTTGGATAACGGTTACTGACCGATAAGAACAAGAAATTTCTATTGATGTGGTCATATCTACTGTAAGATCAACAAATCAGATATACATCTTTCTGTTTGATAAGTGCGATCACTGCATTCATTACCAGAACGAAAGCCAAATTGAGTCGTTAGAATTTGACTTCCGTAGAATGGTGAGAGTCTAGTTAGTAAGATGTCTATTACTACCTTCACCATTAGGAATCCAATTAAGATACCTATGCACCTGTGATTATCTTCCTGACTACTCTTTTGTTTCCACAGTGTATTAATGCGGGACATTACTCATTGCTTTAGGACATGCTTTTAATTCCAGACTTCATTACCTTCATAAAGCCGAGAAACTTATTTTGGAATTTCCAGTGTCTGCTACATTCAAAATGTCCGCCTCAATGTAGAATGAAGCTTTATTATTTTAGTATACATACATAAATACATACATACATACATACATAAATACATATATATATATATATATATATATATATATATATATATATACACACACACACACACACACACATATATATATATATATATACACACACACACACACACACACATATATATATATATATATATTAAATATGTGGTGCAGTTCTATTTATATTACAATGAATCATTCATACAAAAAGTAGATTAGTAAAGTTAATGATATAAAGTGGCGAAATCCCTTCGCAAACAAAATTATAAAGGTGCATTAACCTACAAATCACTCGATGAATGTTATGATCCTTGTTTTTAAAAATTATAAGCTGTATAAGGTCTTTATTTAATACGCAATTTGTGTATGAATGATTCATTGTAATATAAATTGAACTGCACCACATATTTGATTTAAAAGAACTGATCTGACGTGCAAATTTTCGGGATAACAACTGAGACATTACTCTATTTATTGAACTATTTAGTTCATGCCACATTGACTGATAAACTCCTACGACGGGGTACAGAATTTTATTATTACAATAAAAAAAGGTCAGACATTTTATTTACTTTTCACGATTAAAAAGAAAAGCGAAAAATAAAACAAACACAGCCAACCAGTTTCTCCATTGATCAACAGAACTGGATCGAGGGATTATATATTGCAAGAAAATAAAGCATAAAAACAATATGTAATATTAATAAAGACGGAATACAATTTAAACTAAAATTATGTTTATTTCTAACAGACACTGCCTCTGTTTACAGAGAGAGGGTTGTTTGGACGGACGTAAATTGTTTCCATCACCTTTACCAGCAATGGGGAGCTAGAACGACTCAAGCTGGTGAACGAGTCAATGCTAAAGTTAGCAGCACAATTTGAGCTTTTTAATAAGATGCTCCGCGATGGAGGAACCATACGTGTTGTCCACAACGTCCTGACATTTTGTAGGTTAAGTGTTGCTCTATTCTAGCATCTAAACGTTGGGTTGTTCTACCTATGTAGTTCTAACTGCAACTACATTTAAAATGATGAATAACATTATTAATATGATGGAGGATAGAACATCCTTTCGGGTAGCAAATTTAGTAGAAAACACAACACGCACACGAGAAGAGAAATAACAATGCTCTACTGCAGAGGTAATTTGTTTGACGAATTTCATATATATATATATATATATATATATATATATATATATATATATGATAAAAAAGGCTTAAACACTAATATTCCATGGTCATAATTTATTCCATTGGAATCGTAAATACGATCCAATTCATCAGACCTACAAATTCAAAAAGAAAAACAACTCCGGAAATAAAAACAGAATTTAGAGAGAGTGTAAGTATGAGGAGGAAGGAGATTAAACCTTAACAGAGAGAATTTTAGGAGAGGTGGGTGGAAGGGGTTTAAGTAAGAGAAAAATGATTGTTGGATGTCTAATGCATAACGATACATTTCGTAGTGACATACACACGCCATAGACAATCTAAAGGAAGAGGGAGGGAAAGACGAGGTCGGGGAGAGAGATGGGTCTCTACCTGGATTCTTCCTCTTGGAATTTTTATTCTAAAAATATACATGTATGGGTATTTATATATTTTGCATATGCATGT